TTTACCGGTTAATTATTCATTTTAAGTATCTGGTTCACATATTTTTATTCTTTAACTCTTTCATATTCGCCCTTGATTAAAGTGTATTCTCTCCTTAAAAGATGGGACGCAACAGAAACTTTCGGACAAATTGGATGTGATGAGTTGAAATCTAAACACTCGTTCGAGTGCTTTGCTTTCCTGAAAATAGTTATATCTAGATGTTCATTTTCTTTCGGATTAACAAAACAAACAAAGAAAGACAGTTCGCCACTACCTGTTTCTTTTTTTGACCTAAATTTAGTATTGGGAGATCTTGAGTTCAGCTGATCTAAGAATACCAGGGATAAGTCACGTTTTAAAGTTACAAATATATCATGAATATATCCTAGCCAAATGTTTGTCTTTAGTAAGTGAGTAGAGACACTTTCTTTGAATTTAATCACAAATAGGTTAGCTACTATGAGTGAAACAGGTGGACCTATAGCTACACCCTTAGTCTGCCCGTATAGCCTTTCTTTATATGTGAAGTAAGTAGTCTTTAAGCAGAATTTGAGAGCTTTGACGATGTTACTGGTATTCGGTGGATATCTTTCTGTCATCAATGTATCTGAGTCTAGTAAATTAGAAATAATATCTAGAATGTCATTAATTGAAATACTAGTATATGAAGGATTGATGTCATAGTTTGCCATAATTTCATCTTCCTCAAGTTTAAGTCAAGACATTTTGGATTCAAAGTCGACTGAGTCCCTTATAGTGTATTCTGTCAGTGTATTTGTAAGGGTTTAAGTATTGAAGCCAGATATTTACAGAGGTTGTATATTCTCTCTATATTTCTAACCACTTTTTCTTGTTTCTCTTGTCAGGACATTCAAGAGTCGATCATCTATTGTCGCAACTCTTGTCTAGTACACTACATTAAATACTGCTTAAACTCATTCCTAATAATTAGTAGTGCAAACCACAGTTACAATATTCACACTTAGAATAGAGCTTTCAAAATGTGTTGTAATGTATTTTGAAATACATTTTTCTACTTCAACTTATCTTGTATCAACAAGGTGAGGCGTATACCCAACCTTCCCTCTTTACCTGGGCTTAGGACCGGCTAGTAACTAGTGAACTAGTTAACCAGGCGAGGTTGAGGCGTAAACTAATACACTAAAAAAAATAAAGCATTGGAAGATAAGGTCCCATTAAGTTATTTTTTCAGTTTTAATCTAGAGGAAAGCAAACCTGTGAGGATTAACAAATACTCGTACTATGTTATCATTAAATTAAAAGAAAATACTACGTTTCATCTAGAATTTTAGTAGGGTTCTTATGATACAAATGATTTCCCCTGGAATTACTTCATAGGGCAATGTATTATATAGGTGAGTTTTAATACATTCCCAATGTGCTTAGAAAATCATAGAAAGATCTTTCTCAACGTTTCGCTGTGTATGCCACAACTGTATGTACGGTTTGAAAGTAAATATTTTGATGTTTGACATTTGTACAGTGTAAAGTATTCAATGAACGATTATCATGAGCCCAATTTTCGTTTACTTAACGCAACTGCTGATAAAGTTTTCGTGAACAAATTGTAAAGTGATATTTATCACGGGCTGACATCAATAGGATGAATTGGTAACTCAATTTATCAAGTAATGCAAACTTTTTCACCGGTTTACTAGTAGAAAACAGAGTTAAGTCGATATTCTCTAATTGTAAATTACTTTGAATGAAAATGAATAAAAGGAAATATCGGAGAGAACCTTCTTTTTGATGAACCGTTTTCAAACGTTGTACATCATAATCATAGTTACAACAAAATATATGTACCCATCAATGGCTAGTGAGTCAATACACAGTCATCAAACTTCAGAAAGTTTATGCTGATGATGTTGTCTAGAATGACAACGAAAGCTCTACAATTAAACAATCCAGTTCAGATAGCACGACACCATCAAAAATACTACTAAATGTTCAATAGACTACTTAGATTTCAGGTTGTTCAGCTTAACAGCCAAATTACAAACTTAGTCGATACAATACGAAGGCTATTTTATCCAATACAGCACAGCATCTATAAACTACGCTTACTAAGTATTGTAACTGATTACCGATAAACTATCAGGATTGATATTGAATAGTATCTGAAGTTTTGGATAAATTATTCTCTAACGATGCACCGTTTCCATTCAAAACTTCACTATTTTAGTTTGGAGGTTCTTGGAGATTGCCTAGTTTCAAGGCAGAATTCATCATGGATTGACATGAATTGGAGAACCAGTAAAAACATATTTTCTTGTAACTGTGATTACGATGTACAACGTTTGAAAACGGTTCATCAAAAAAGAGGTTCTCTCCGATATCTCCTTTTATTCATTTTCATTATCTAATGAGACTATTTCAATTGTCGAAAGCAGATGATGAAATTCCTTGGAAAATCAACACTGAAACAAGTTAATAAGCTGTATCTTCAGGAGGCTATTTATCGAAGGGTACCGAAACCTTTCAATCTAGGGAATACTCATAGCCACATTCAGATAATCTGCATTGTATCGATGTATTAATGTTATTCAAAGTAATTTACAATTAGAGAATATCAATTTAACTCTGTTTTCTACTAGTAGACCGGTGAAAAAGTTTGCATTACTTGATAAATTGAGTTACCAATTCATCCTATTAAATGTCAGTCTCATTTTCTTTTGCTTAGTTTTATGGTGTAATCATTCAATATGACTATTTCATATAGTGCATTTCAGACTCTTTACCTCACAGTATGTTTCTTGATCATTTTATTTTTTAGGTTTGAATCCTGTAACGCTTTTCATTGATGGCATGATTCATAACTTTAGTGTTCTGTTTTTAACATTTTTTCGACGAAGCAGTAAGAATACACTGGAACGTGTGGTGTTCGTGCAATACATTTCGGTTACATACTTGCCATAAACATTTATATGAATTACTACGAGCGATAAATGGGTTTAAAAAATAATCAGTATATTAAGGGGTCAAACAGTTAGTTTAGAGATCAAATCATAGATGAAAGAAGAAAGATAATGTTTTATGTCAATCGCCTTTGATATTAAAGCTGAGTTATCAGAAAGAGTTTAACGTAACAACCAATTGTATTTGTATATATAAAAGAGGTGTGAGCTCCTTTAACGGTATGGTTTCAACAAACGTAATTATCTGCCTCAATATATTTCCTAAGTACGTTTGTAAGACGTATACAATTCAACGCTTTGATCCATTTCAATGATGCTTAACTAATGATGAAGTTGAACATCTGTTATCTAGATCAGTGGAGTCTTTCTGTTTCATTTGTTATTGTAACCATTTTGACATGTTTTCTGCTGCCCTTATTTGCATGGATCGATGGTACCTTCCTATGTATATGGTACCATACGTAAATGTTAACTGATAGATCTAAGAGTATACAAAAGTATATAGGTTTCATTAAAAAAAATAATAATATTATTCCTTACTGCATAGTATGTTCTTCATTTGTTTGGTGACCAACCTTTGTGAATCGCCCATATATCATAGTGTGATACAAATGTCTTCCTTTTGAAATGACGGAACAATGAACTTCCTCTGTTGGTCATTTCTGTTACAGTTGATCAATTTCAGGGGAGTAATTGTTATCTAGTAATATTTTGACGAGCTTTGGTGTTCTCCATTCTAAGGTGTCATTTACGTATATTCTTTGAATTCGTTTGAACAGACACTTGAATGGTACCCATTCATTCTGAAGTTGATAAAAGTCATTGTAATTTAAATAGTGTCCTGTCCATGTTGAATTTCCCCGTAGATGGATTGCTTTATTGTCCAATCCAGCATCTTCCGACTTATCACTTACAGTTATGATGTCGTTTACATATTTATTTTAGAAGTTAACTTTTGCAGCGGAATTTTCAACTAACCTTTCGACATGTAACACAAAGATGTCTGCTAGCACTAGGCCTTAAGGGTTTCCTATGGCCACATCATTGAACAGGTGTAAAAGTTTACCTTCAAATGTAGATTTAACGTTACTGGCATATGAAAGGATAAACTTCTTAAGATATAAGGTGGCGGAATTGGTAATGGAGTATCAGTGGTAGAGATACAGTCACAATAAAGGGGACTAACTGTCTTTATTTACTGTTAGCAGTGCTCATCTACTCACGACTTTCTGATTGAATCGTTGTAAATGATTCTATCCATATCTTTCTTTTCAAATCGATTAGAATACTTCGGATAAATATGGCTTTCAGTCTTTGGTTAGCTGAAGGGAATCATTTGATATAAATTGAATTGAAATTATTTCATACCATTTATTCTTCTTTATCTGTTCAAATTTTTTAAAGAAGTTGACCGTTTTACTGATTTTTAACAGAGTAAGATTTTTTTTCTGTATAATGCATTTTTTATTGATGAGTATTAATTGTAGAGGATTCATATTATTGGATGAAGGGAATCAACAGAAAGCTAGCTATGACCTAGGCATCGTGCGTTTTAGCACCCATCAGCAAGGTGTACCCTCAACCTCGACGGAATTGATGTCCTTTCTAAAGTTGGAACCCGCGTCACCTAGTGCTGCAATGAGGGCTTTACTACTGAACTATTCGTGTGGCGATTGACCTCTTGTAGAACTGGATTTGATAGATTGAGTGGTGATTGGAGAGTCTAGTCCTGAATGCTGACCAAATTTCATCCATCATTGTACACTGTATCCATATGACTAGGAGAGTGCTAAAAAGCCCGAAAACCCAGGTCCTGGGCTTTCCTGCCCATTCAATCTGTCCAACTCAGATTTATCCCAGTGTATTGGAGTAGTGGGTTCCTTAGCTTGGTGGTCACATTACCAATTGGATTCCGTCAGCTCTTATGACTAGATAAATGAAATTGGTTACTCTCCAGTGACCTATTGTTGTGGCGACAGGATTCGTTTGTCATTAACTTTCTTCCTTTGATAAACTGTTTCAAGTTGACGATTACTTTATGAAACTGTCATATCAGTTGGATGTTTTTGCCTATTCTAGATGGTGTTTTCCTCGTGTAATATTGTTAGACATAAAAATCCTTCAGTTATCTTGAAGTTTAGTCGTTTTATTTCAATTGGTGATCAAATCTCTCTTATCAGAAGAATAACTGCTGAAGATGTCAAAGAGTTTGCAAAGCTTACAGGTGATCTGAATCCAATTCATATAGATGCTGAATATAGCAAACAGACACGTTATGGAAGGTGTATTGTACATGGGACATTTGTTCAAGGGTAAATATTGCAATCTATCAATGTGGTTGTTGTTTGTTTTCTGCTTTTCCTTAACACTTTCAAACTATCTGTTTTTAAGATTATTGCATATTACATTTTATTTGTTTAATGACGGTTAGATATTTCTTTCTTTTTCGCTTATTTGACCAATGTGATGCATAGTTAAGTTCTAAGTATCGAGGTCAACGGACCGTCGTTCGTTTAAAAGATACCCATGATTGGAGGGGGGGGGCTAACTAGTGGGATCTCTACACTTATGAACACACCAGTTATTCCAGAATATATAATGATGATTTAGTTTTTTGCCCAAGAATGTTGTGCAGCTGTTGATATGTTTGTAGTCAGCTCATATTCATATGATAGGAATATGAGCAATAAGTTCTGCTCTAAACGTCACTCAGTAAATAATACTGTATCAAATAAACAATTTACTAGGGATTAACCAATCCTCTGGAAAATCCATGTTTACTCGTCTCTTTTGATTTTTTGTTTCTCACTGACAAACAGAGAATATGTCAAATCTATTCACGTTACCATAGATAAGTAGGAATGGATTAATTACTCAAATCGTTCATCGGATTGTAAGCAGTGTAAATTAATTGAAGTCTATTGAAGAATATCTCTATTTTACGGTCAACTGATTTCAAACGTGTGCCATCAAGCAGTCTACATCAGAATGTAATATCAATTATGTCATCGTAAATAAAATGTACACGGAAATGACAGTCTTCGACCGCCGCTTAGAATGTTTATTCGATATTAGTTACGGTTCAGTGACGTTTCTATTTACTTTGTTGTATTGTAGGTTGGTGGTAGGAGATTGATCCTACTACATACGATGGAGAGATATGAGTATTGTCAATAACTTGTTGTTCAAATGCAATGTGCCTTAGTGTTTTTACTAAATAACATGAGAAATGAATTCGATGCTGAACCTGAGTGTTATTGAAATTAGTGTAACTAAGTGGTATGGTTCATGTATTTGTTCCGTTTACGAATTTTGATATCGCAGTATTCACAAGTTTTGTTGTATTCGCATTATATACTTACGACTTGACAATGGTTAACCAAGAAAACGAATTAAGCATAACTTGTGTGGGTATTTAATATGCATAATCTATTAGGTGTATCAAGAAAGTTTCAATTGTCAGACTGCAATCGAACAGTGAAACATATCAAAGCTATATACGAAATTCGCTTAATAATTTGATATATAAAGTAACCATTACTCTGAATTTAGTACGTAAATTAGCATCCAACCTATTCATTAAAGATTCAAAACGGAATATACAATAAAATATTAACAGATAGAGATCACTTTCTTTGAAAATCATTCAAAAGTAAGAAGCCGTTTTTTCGAATTGATTAAAAAATTTCTCAGCACTCGGTGAAATATCGTTTTAAAATGCATACTACTTATAAGTAGGTGATTTTGAACTATAGTATCCCCACGTAATTTCTAAGTGCTAAAAATTCCCATTATGAAAATTATAACAAGTCATCTAAGCAAATTATTTTGTTTTCAATTAGATCTCATCAGGCTTCACTCTAACATAGATAACTTTCAATATATTTTTAAAATATTAACCAATCAAGGTAATTTGTGGGACAACAACGACAAGGAATATAGATTGTAATTAGGTTAGTCCGAATGTCTCTAATGACACGACAATGTAAAAAGGTGTTCACATAGATAGACATACAAAGTAAGTCAAAGGTTGAAAATAAATAAGGATGATAAGGTTGTGTGATATTGGAGGTTGAAGGAGGTAAATAAATAAGAGTTGAATGTGAATATAGTAGTGGTTATGAAAGGAGTGACAAAATGAAATAAAAATACAAAGGAGAATAAGTACATTTTAAAATTCATAAGTAAGGTCAATTCAGAGCTGTGTATCCAGGCGAAATTTGTACAGCCTTTATCCTTGCCTTGACCAAGGAGAACCTAATGAATGACCTTACTTATGAATTTTAAAATATTGTTGTTATAATTTTGAATTATCTCAAAACTGATTATCTCCGTATGGCAACTGAATGTTTCTTAAATATATTAGGACAACTTTAAAAAACTTAAAGCACGAAATATTTTATCTACAAAAAATGCCTATTATAACTTTCATTAATAATGTTAATCAATATTCATTGTAAGACATGTAGATTGTACCTTAATTTACAAGCAATCAGTATTATGGGTTGCAGTCACTATCTACTTTCAATTTGTAGACAATTACTTGGGATTTCCATATTTACAGATGCTGATTGCCAACTAAATAGATGCATCTCGTGTTGCTTTCTTACTGCTGCATTAGAAACCGTACCTAATCTTACTGCTGGTTCACTATATTTTAAAGGATTATTTGTATGACTTCACCCCAGCGGACTTTAACAGGCTCTATACAAAAGACTCAACTGATAGCTGCTACTTTGAAGTGGTTGTCAGAATTTTATATCACAATAGTTCAGTGAGCTATTTCGGGGGATTAGTTGTTCTCTCGAAGTCATTTTGGTATAGAAGGGCTTGTTGGGTAATAAGACGAAAAGTAATTACCGTCGTAGTGTAAATTACTCCAACAGTAAAGTCATATTGCTGGTTCCACAGGGTTTGACAGTTGTAGGATGTTTTCCATTGGTGACCAGAAGTCTGTGCTTATGTTACTTTCTTGACGGGAAGAGGTGTTAGAAAAGGTCAGTCCCGAAAATGGCACACTGTTTTTTGTTCTCCCATCCTTTTGCATCGCTTGTATTGGTTTCCTATCTGGATTTAAAACAATTCAACTTAGATTTCACCATTCCAAAAAGGTTGTATTACTGGCCTCACAATGATGTCCCGTGGGCTGTGTAGTCACGTATCATTGGTGCTAATTCAATTTCTTTTCACACACTTGAAGAAAAAAAGAAATAACATTCCATTATGTGGGCGGTTGTAAAGTGTCAACCCCTCATAACTCTATCAGCATTGAACTTCCCTCAAATCATTATCGACTTCCTACATTATTAACTTCTAATCTTTCATAACACCTCTCAGTCAATATTCCCACGTCATCGTTAGTTTATTCCAGCTTTACAGCTCACAATAGTGATTCAACTTCACTGAACACCATTCCTGGCTTCCTGCAATTGCGCGCCTAACTACATATTGGAGCTTTCAATGTCCACACTCTCCTTCCAAAGGGACAACAATCTTCATTAGCGAAATCTTTGTCATTTCGGGCCATGGCCATGTTCTGTGTTTTGAGACACGCATACAAGATTCAAGTGTTGTTATTCAATTAACCTCATCCGCCCAATATGACGAGTCTGCAAAACTCACCTTTCGAGTTTCTGGAAACTTAATGACCAATTCTCACGGTCTTGCAGGCATAGATATAGCACTGGATCCCAGTTAAAAGTCACATATCCTCTATTCCACCGAACAGCACGGTGAGGACTAAAAAGAATAGTGAAACTCGTTGTTGTCTCATTGTAATTTCCGCTTACGCACGAACTGACTGAAAATCGGATGAAGTGAAGTGAGTCCGAAAACTGTCTAACTTCCCACTGAAGATCAAGGGCTCATAAGTGGTAGTTGTTGCAGGTGATTTCAATGCCAAGGTGGGTAGGCTTGGTCAGTTAGAAAGGCACTTAAGCAGCACTTTCGAAATGCTATTCAAACGAACGGATAATGATGATTACCTACTACAATTTTGCTCAGACAGCCACATGCTTCTGGCCAGCACGAACTTCAGAAACAAAGTGACATTTTCTATCGTGATGTCCATTGACCTCAACTCAACGGTTGAAACAGATAGATCATGTTGTTACTATTTATCACTGGAGAAACTTAGTGGAAGATTTACACTTCTGAAACACGTGTTTGGACGGTGATCGTGTGTTGGTTCGAGCACGCTTACGGTTTCGCCATGATTGATGTTGGAAAACCGGAACTTTGGGACCGTTACGAGTGCCATTTGGCGTTGGTAATACTGAAGTCCTTTTTAACGAGGATATAGCTAAGTAGTTGTCGGAACGGATTAATGTTATTCCTCTAGAAGAAACCGATCGCCACCTTCAGTCTGCTGTGAAAACATTGTATCTTTAGATAAAAGTTCGGAAGAACCGGTGGATCTCAACAGCCTTTTCTGAAATAATATGTACAAGTGAAGGTATTCTTTCAGACTCCAAGCTCAACAAGTAGTGGGAACAACTGAAATGCTAACTGACGACAAATCAACACAATTACTGTCTGCAGTAACGAGCAGCCAAGGCTGAGAACGTAGAATGGTAGCGGTCATAGGTAACAGTAGACAGTTATTTATACTTATAAAAGAAACTAGTATTGAAGTGTCAGTGGTTAGTGAGACTGTTGCAGAAAAGGATGGGTCTACGATCTACTCTCAGGAATTACAAATAGACCGAAAAAATTTGAAGAGCAGTTCATCTAGCCTGCAAATACTATTTCGTTGTGCTCTTTGCAGCCGGATACTGAATGGAACACAGGGTCTCCAACACCTACTGAAGTCGAGAAAGCTATTTTATGTGAGTTGAAGAAGGACAGCACTATCAGATGTATTTGTAAAAGCGGTATTTCAGGACGTTGTTTGCAGATTAGTTGTCAAGTGTACGAGAATCAGATACTGTCTCCACTGTCTGGTCTTAGTCGCTGATTGTTTTAGTTCTCACAAAGGAGAGAAATCTTCTTTGTACAACATGAAAAATGCACAACATTCTTAATGACTCTTTGTCAACCAGTCAGTCAATCAACCAGTCACTTAGCCTCAGTCTGGGAAGCAACATTACTGCGTAACGGCTCGAGTCACTTTATCTAATATCAGGGTATAGAAGAAGGTACCAGAATGAAGAATATGTATAAGGAAAAAAGCAACCAAAGGAAATAGGAAGTTATCAAAAGAAAGGAGAGGTGGCAAAATAATGACGAAATTCGGTTTGACGATTGTGATGAAGTCAATGGATGAATGCATCTATGTCATTAAGATAGATTCTAAGCCATATCGCTGAGTGTCCAACCACCGATTTCGGTAGTCATGTGGACACCACTCGGAAGTCCACATCCGCAAACAAGTCCCGGAGCAACAGTTTGGATTTGGGTAGTGAAAAACATCCCAAACATTCTCGCATTGATATTTAAGGCATCCAGAAAACCATGTATCCTGTCAACGTCTTCACCTAACTCGACCGTGTCATCTACATACTCTAGGTTTATTAAAGATTCTTTTATAACAATATCTTCGGTACTCTCTAAGTCTAATAGTTGCTCTGGTGGCAGCATATATACACCACCACCATCATACACCTCCTTTGAGGTTGTCTGAAGAATATTATCTTTGGCAAAACTTTTAAGAAACGGTGATGTAAGGTAACTAATCTCACTAAAAGTTTTGAACAAAGGAAAGGACTAGTTGTGTGCCTTCACTCTACCTTAGTTGTTTATGAATAGCGTCTCTAAAGATGTCATATATTTTTCAGGGGTGCGTTAATGTAAGTGGAAATCTCAAAGTGGTGATTCGTTATTTGAGTGGAAGTACAAGATGAAAAGGAAATCCACTTAACTCCTTGCACAGAATTACATGAGTTTGAATTCTGTTAGCCTTTACTGTCAATAAAAACGTTCTTTGTTGGCCTACAGTACATGTGGCGGCATTAGAGAATTCGGCTGGAAGTAAATAAGGCATCAGTATATTCACGTCTTTTGGTAGGCTTGACCTGGCACTCACGAATTAGATTTTAACACTTGTGGAAGGGTCTAGTAAATATGATATTAGTCAATATTTCGGACGTAATCGGCTATATTATTCCATTTTTGAAGATAAGTAAAACGTTGGTCATATTTAAAGTCCATTAAACATTCTGAACCCGCAATCCCATCAGCTCTCAGTGAATAATCACATCTTTATCCTTTGAACAAAATGAGACTTTTAAAAGAAAAATTTTCTTTTCTGAATCCCATGAACTATCTTTTATATTTCTGGTGTCAGTTTCATTGAAAACATTCTTAAAGCCTTGAGTTAAGTAACTTTAAGTTGACATTCATTGTACCTAGTGTCGTAGGTAGTTTAGATGTTAGACTTTGAGCTCCACCACACAAAGATAGGCTGCATTTGGAATTCAGATATATGCAGTTCAGCCAATCTGTGAAAGTTATCACACATACTCGCTTCATCTGAAACAGCTATCTAAAGCCAATGATATTAAATAACCCTTTTGTTTTTTCCTATCATAAGCATTCATTTTAACATGTTGTGCATTCTGTATTATATGACAAAAATATCTTTTTTTTCCTCTTATATTTAATTCTCAACACTTATATACATTTTGTATTTAAGTCTAGTTTCTTGTCTTCTTGGTGTACATTTTCCTGGGACTGGATGTGTTGCATATGCAATAAGCTGTAGATTTCCGGAAGCACGTAGGTTGTCAGTTATTTGATATGTTTAATTGTTTCGCTTCCTTTCTTATTGATATTTCATGTTTTGTATCCTTTTATTTATTATTATTTAGCACTGAAGAGACTATTATTCATAGTGGTGTTCAGTAAATTTAAAGAAATCCCTTGATGAAAAATTGAAATACGTATTTGTGCATGATTTGTGATTCGTATCAGTCCATTTCAACGCACGCAATCTGGTAGAAGTTTATTTACAGGACTATAAGGTATAATTAGCGCTTGTTGACTGGGGGAGGGGACAAGTTACGTTACTATCCGGCTGCCCGAACTCAACTAGGTTGGTCATGGTTTGGACCTGGAACTCATTATCTTGAAGCTGCGTGCGTAAACCAGGAAGCTATATATTCAGTGCAACATTTGGTGTTATACACAATAACAGTAAACTTAACGTGATCGCTGTGGTTATTTCTTTCGTGATAACATTTCATTATACGTATTATCAAAAAAAAAACATTCTATGCTTTAGCTCAGCTATGAACTTCAAAGGTAATAAAATTTACTTCTATTTTCAAGGTGATTGAAAAATAATGTTTGACTTCCTGTTATGGTGGAACTGGAAGACAGTTACTTGTCGAAACTCAGTGTTAACTAATTGTTCCGTTGAGTTAGTGGAGACTTTTTAGCTCAAGATAAAGATGATAATTGTTTGGTGTTCTCTGAGTTTTCGAAGTTTCTTTTTGGACATTTCATCACCAGATTAAGCGACTTTATTAGCATTTACTCCAAAAAAGTAATGTACTACTCTCAATATATAGTTTCCTAGAGTATTGGAGCTAAAATTTGTAGTAAGTGGAACTAAAACTTCCAGTACTAGACAAGAAGAATAATAGGTGTTGTAATTATAATTGGTACATTAACCCAATCTAGTGATTCCGAACGATTGTAAATCAGTTCAAACAATCTCAGCTATACAAAACTAAATGCCTTCATTTACACTATTATGGTCACTGTAGCATTTTTACTGCAGCATGTAAAACGATTGTTAATTGGATTGCAGTATCAATTACAGTGGCATCTAACCGTGTAAAAAAATAGATTTTCAGGACCTCTTAAATCATCAAATGAAAACAATCACTTTTTTGAACTGCAGTTGACTTGTAGTCAAAGTATTTTTCTGAAGTCGACTAGCTGCACATGTTCTAACTTCATATGTACGCTGTTAGCGTCCAATACCAAACACTTCTTGATATGAATAAACGTCTAGGCCATGGTGAGATTCAAACCTGCTGCCTCCTGATCACCGAGCAGGTTCTTAACTAACTGAGCTGTAAAACCCGTCGCTATTTTAGCCTTGACTTTCCTGCAAATACTAAAGGCTTTGGTCAACTGTCTTGTGAATATATGACGTAACTGTCTGTTCACTGTCATTACGCTAGCTGCTTAATAGCGTCTTTGCATCTCGATCTTAATGGGACTGAATTAGAGAAGGAAGGCGTATGATTACTTATTGTTGGTAAGACAAACTGACAGTAACTTGTCATATGTCCACATAAGAGCTGGTCGAAACCCTCAGAGACTGAAGTTAAGATATGTTCATTAGCTCGACCTTTTATCTCAGTTGCCAGGGCACTTGATTTGTAATCCGAAGGCTGCTTGTTTGACTTCTGTTGCTACCCAGACTTTCATTTCAGCTTTAGTCATCACTTGCATCAATAGTGTCAGTCTACCAAACCATAGATATCTTCAGTATAATTGTTTTTACATGATACCGTCGTTGCTTGGACCGAATTGGTCGGTCTCTATCGGCATATGGGCACCTGTGCGGATGCCTCGATATTGCCTGCGTTCTAATTATATTAATGATGGATCGTGGCTAGCAGTGTAATCCAGGACGCGCGTTTCGTCCTATTTGGGACTCGTCAGCTGGATGTACCTGCTTCCCGGTGGGAACAACACCACTCACTGGGAAGCAGGTACATCCAGCTGATGGGTCCCAAATAGGACGGAACACGCATCTTGGATTCCACTGCTAGCCACCATCCATCATTAACATAGATATCTCCAATAGTTAAATTTAATGACAATTCATCCCTTATACCAATCCATATGGATAACTATGGCCATGAACTCGATTATGAAAGTGTAGAGATGTTGTTCACAGGAAACACAAACCAATACCAGAGAATTTCTAAAAGCTTAGCATCCAGATCAATCAATAATCAGTAGGTGTATAAACATAAACCCGTTTTACTGACTCATAAGAAAAATGACAACCAACTACAGGGTTAGATGTCAGCACGAGAAATGACTAGCGGGGAAATCTGCTCAGTCAACTATATAATAATCAAAGGGAAGTATCGACCATATATCACTTCATTAGGACAGCTGACTGAATCACTCACGAAGAAATTCTGGTAGCTCACTTCATTCTAAAGTTATTGTTGATAATGTTGTCTAGATTGAACTATTCAGGTGAGAGAATTCAATACAACTAAGATTACTAATAAGTACTTAAAAGCAGAATAATTATGAAGTTCATATGTATCCACTATTTTTTAAATAACAAATAAACTTAACCTGTAAGTCCAATTAAACAGTTTAAAGCGAATACAATGGACTGTTGTTTGCATTACTCCGTTTTCTTTCTTTTCTATGAATAATTTGCTTCTACTTTGATTAATTGGTTGATTAATTAAAATAAAACGAAACAATATTTCCACAAAATACATTTACAACCATTAAGATTTGAATAAAAGTAGTGCAAAAATTACTCTCTTGCATAATTAAATAGAAAGTGATGTTATACAATGAGACTCTTCTTCCTAATTTTGTTATTACACAATGCTTCTCTTTATGTATTTTAAAGAGAAATTAAAGTCAACCAGATTTCAGAGATACTGACAACAGAATAGGGATCAGGGAAAATTAAGATTACTGACGTTACACTTTTGGATGTTATAGTCGACTGTTTAGGTCAAGTATATATGAGAATGTCACAATTACTGTTAAAATTATGGTTTTAACTCTTATTGGTGTAGATTTGTTAGCAGGAGAAAGATAGTGTACTACTTTGTAGATGTAGACGATATCACCTTACTGTACGATAGTTTACAATTCGTTCAAATTGTGTTTACTAAGTAAACTATTGGTAACCATGAGTACGGTATATATTTTCAGACATCGAATTTTAGAGTCTGAAATATATTCACGTGATATGAATTGAAAAAACGTTGATTAAGAAAAAGGCTGTTTTCATAATAGTTGTACAGTCAATACTTTGGAAATATCATAGAAAATGTCAAGAAAGGTCATAGGTGAATGTCACTTAGTGAAAACATTTATTGAAGTATAAATTGTCACTTTGACTATCTGAGGTAGCCATGGTTTGGCAGGCTAGTAGGTATACTGCGCAATGATTGAAGGTGATATGAAAAATTGAACGACAGCCTGATTCGAACCAGTCATCACCGGGTTTCCGGCCTGATGCTTCACTTCGTAGCTGTAGAGCGGCCCAAACTTTCATTTCACCTTCAGTCACTACCCAGTATAAATATAGATTAGATGAAAATAAGTATACTGTAGAAGTTGGCTAGCATTTCCTACGCCATGTAAATGTGTACCGTATATTAAGTAGTGAATATAGTTTGGAAAGGAGAGGAAGATGGTGAAGCAGAGGATAAGATGAACAAGTGCAAGGATTCACAACGAAAATAAGAAAAGAATACAACCTATAAAACACTTGACAAAAAAGTGAAGAGTGCACACGAAGACAAAAGACACTTCTATGACACATTGGCAAGCGAAGCAGAACAGGCTGCAGGTAAGAGAGACCTGACAACATTATATCAAATAACCAGATTACCATCTGGAAGGGAAGAGATCAAAGCTGAAAAAACCAATGAAAGGTAGTGAAGGAAACCTAGTTACCAAAGAGGAGAAACGAAGCAAAAGATGGGCTGACCACTTCAAAAAACTCTTGAACCTACCAGCACCTACAACTCGTCCAGGACTACTACCAGCAGCCCAGCTACAGAATTACCAGTGAACACAGGCCCTTCAACAAAAGCAGAAGTCCTGAATGCCATAAAACTGCTGAAATCCGAGAAAGCAGCAGGACCAGATGGAATTCAGCCAGAATTACTGAAAACAGACGTGGAGACATTAGCTGATGGAAGGAAGGAAAGGTACCTGCCGACTGATAGGAAGAAGAGCTACCTCGTGAAACTTCCAAAGAAGGGAGACCTAAGTCTTTGCAAGAACTGGCGAGAAATCATGCTCCTATCCCTATCCACCCCAAGCGAAATATTATGACGCATCATCCTGGATAGACTAGAAGATGCGTTTGATTCAAAATTACCACCGGAACAAGCTGGCTGACTGGCTTCAGGTAGAACAAATCATATGCGGATCAAATTGCAAAGGTACGCTACGCATCATCATAGAACAGAGAGTAAAATGGTAGTCAACTCTCTATATCAACCTCATCGATTTTGAAAAGGCCTTCCATAACGTCAACCGAGAAGTAGTTCGGCAGGCAGTTGCTTCAACACTACGGTGTGCCACTAGTCTTTATCAACCTCATTCAACAGGTATATGAAGATGCCACATACCAAGTGATCCGCGATGGAAAGCTCAGTGACGCCTTTGAATTGAAGACAGGACTAAAACAAGGTTGTTTACTATCACCCATGATCTTCCTGTTTGTGGTGGACTGGATTATGCAGCAAACTATGAGGGGCGAGAAGATGGGCATACGCTGGACTGATGAAAAGAGCCTAGAAGATTTGGATTTCGCCGATGACGATTTATGTCTGTTGTCTTGTCGCACAAACTCGAAGATCTACAGGCGAAAACTAACAAGTTGACAGAAGAGGCAGCGAAAACGGGGCTTCCTTCAGGTGAACGTAGAGAAGACAGAGGTGATGAAGATACCCAACCAACAACAGCATCAACGACAAGAGGCACCAATCACCATCAACGGGGAAATCTAAAGGAAGTAGTCTCTTCTACCTGCCTAGGCGATGCAGCATCTTTCCAACTACAGGCGGCACATACGAGGATGTTAAAACCAGGATTGGGAAAGCAGGACAGGCTTTCAATGATCTGAAATTACTGTAGAGATCTACTGCACTCAGCACAAAGAACAAGATCTGGATTTTCAACACCAATGTCAAGTCAGTGTTGCTATATGGTTAAGAAACTTGGGGTGTCACGAAAAGCATTTCTAACAAACTACTAAGATTCATCAACAACTGCCACCTATGCTCACTCGATACTGAAGATCAGATGGCCGGATGGAATAAGCAACAAGGAACTTTGGCTGTCAATGAACCAACCAAGAACCTATCGCTCAACAAATATGCAGAAGAAAGTGGAAATGGATTTGATTGGGCATACACTGAGAAGACCATTCAGTGATATTACGCGTCAAACGAGGCCAGGTCGTCGAGTCCAACCCAAATGTGAAACGACTAGTTGTCGCTCGAGGATGACATTGTCGTGAGAAAGAAATGAAAGCTTATGGGAAGTCGTGGTGCGAGGTTGAAAAGACTACAGAGAAGAGAGTGGAATAGAGGCGTGCTACTTAAGCCCTTTGTTCCACTAGGAACCCAAGGGAAAAACAACGATAATAATGATAGTTTAGAAATGCTTTTTCTGTATTAGACCTTGGAAAGTGAAAACTATACACCGGATACAAACTCAAATTCATAATGCAGACTTGTGAAAAATTGTATCAAGGTAGAGTACGGACTTGGTGTGTTTAAAAGCTAATCTTTCGATGTAAATTAAATGTGTAGTTTTTTACTTAGTTGAACGATATCCTGACAGAAGTATTAGGTAGCAATAAAGTCTGGATTCTCTCTCTTAACTGCAGATTATTTCTTAGCTTCCATTTAGAGTCGGGCAATTTGTAGTCAACTAGTGATGATATGCTATTTTTATTATTGATCTTGAAACAATTGAACAAGATAAAATCCTGGAAGTCTTCAATAACGTTCAATCACCGATTAGGTTAACACTTAAAGTTGATTTGGAGTGTAAACGTTCATTCTAAAATGTTCAACTATCAAGCACATGTGATTAGTCGATTAATAAAAGAAAGTAGAATAAGCAATTGATTGATTTTTACAGTTCTGTCCTTCTAAGCATGAAGAGGAATTTATCATGTATAGATAGGTATTTTGGATAGACACTTAGAATTATTCTGAAGTATTCTGCTTCAGTGTTGTTTATTCATTTGCATATGAAAAAGTAAACCTGATATTCCAGATCACTCAATAGTCTCAAAGAAGTACGTGTGTGTGAATTATTGTGCTATGGGATGAGACTATTTTTCATTTTCTACAAGTTTCTGTATTTATCCTCTCTGTCTTAATGATCTTTCTCTCACTTTAATATTCATCAGTTACTGTCTATTCTATTTTCGTTTACTCTTGTGGACTATGGTAAATCTAGATGATGCACTAATGTGCCTAGTTATATATCCATCTATGCATCTGCTTGTGTTATAGAGCCTCTATGGGGAATTTTTTGAGTGTGAGCGATCATTTCTTTATGCTGTAAAACTTCATCCATTTGAAAGCAGGCTTCACAGTTTGCATCTTTTCTATTTCTATGCTTGGGAAGTGGGGTGGTAATTTGCTTCGTGATGGGTAGCAATATTGGATTCGAGTTTTAATGGGAAAAACATCATATACATCTTAGTGACTGATACTGGAATCCAGGATGCACGTTTCGTCCTACTTAGGACTCATCGACTGGATGTGTGGACACCTCAGTGATTGATAATGTTGTTCCCACTGAAACTGGGACTCATCAACCATCGCTCCAAACACTGAAACGTTATTTAGTAGGCCAGTGAGGTACGATAGTCTCCGCTTGGGCCTACGGCTATCGGGTTTTATTTATTGTAATCTGTTGTGTCGATCTACTAGTAACCTCCTGCTATTCAGGTTTCGCCTACTTCATTGTATGCATTTATAAGAATCTAACAAATACGGATAGATTTTCAAGTAATTTCAACAACTAACAGTTGGTATTACTTTTGTTTTAATTTTGATGTTTCAACCGTTTGAATTTCGCTAATTTATTTATTGGAAAATGTTCTTTTTCAAACTGTCAGTTTCCATAAATTATTTACATTAACGTATTTATGAATGACAAATGTTTAAATAAATAAATAACTAAACAGATAAACAAACTGACCATAAATATTTAATCCAATTTAGTGAATATCCTGTCAGTTGATTTCCGTTTTTGCTGGGAAGGAACTATTTCCTTCAAATCTCTTATGGTGTGAAATAAGATTGTTATAATCTTCATGAGAAGCTTTAAATCCCTGAGGCCTTTAACAATCAATCATGTTACATCGACGTTTCTGGAGATACCATATGAACCAAATTGTTAATATTTGAATGGTTTAAAGGACGAAAATCAATAGGATATTCAAATCTAGGAAGGCCTGGAAATAACCAAAGCCATTGTATATAATTTTGCCATTGCAATACGCCTATTATCTCCCTGCTTCATTCCTCGAGAAACAGCGACCATCAAGGGATGAAATCTGGAGGTTAATTTTCAGGTGTCCCTATATATAAATAACTCACGTAAAGTGGTTCCGAGAAAGATAAAACAAGTCACAATAGAGTTAAAAAGTGTCGACTGAGGGTTCTAAAAAACTCTATACTGTTCACTCTATTCGTGACTGTATTACGCAGCCCCATAATGTGAGTTAGAATTCAGGACATTTTCCAGATATTTTTGGAAAATATCAAATATGCTATCTTATTGCATCTTTGGTTGGAATAAAGGGGTTGGACTATTACGTTGGTCCAGATTTGTATAGTACTAAACTGATATGAGGAACCTGTAGGGTGAGGCTAAAAGTTATTCTCAGGTGTAACCGTGCTCACCATAGGTTGTAGGATTGTGTTTGAAAATACGAACATCTGTGTCCTGTATGAATATTTTACCTATTTGCATAGTTTTCACAATCTCACCTGTTATTGAATCGTGTTCCAAACCGTTTGTTCATGTAAAAAGTGTTGGTTGCCCTTCCACTTCTTAGGTGGAAAGTAAACACAGTTATTCAGGATAAATGATGCTCACAGATCGCAATGAGTTAGGTGAGGCTTCAAATTACATTCAAAATGAATCATGATTCAAGGTTTTCTCTTTAGAATATATACATATGGAACACATAAAACACATGTTTGCAGAAAGAATCCTATGAAACCTGGGGATAACGGTTAGTATCATTTGACATGTATGCTCTTTAGATCATTGGAGCCTGATGTACTAATTGGAAAATTAGAACAGGCAGAATAAGATGCTACTTGAGTTCATTTATTACACGTAACATACATTACCGAGGATCTTCGTATGGTTGAAGCAGAAAGTGGTGCTTAAGATGCCATACAGTAGATATTTCAGTTTCACTGTGTGATACCTTTAGTAAAAGAAGTAAAAATGAGTTATGCTGAAGTACTGTATTCACACTCAACAACAATTCGTTTTTATTTCCAACAGAATTTCTAAAAATTCCAAGTTTTGGAGTCACCAGGGATAGTTTACTAGGAACGTTGATAGAAAACGATATAACCAACGTGATTATAAGCGCAAAAATATCATAAGATAGACAGAAACGGACCTAGAGGAAATAATGAAGATAACCTAATGTTCCAGAAGAGGATAAAGTGTGGATACGTTTGCATTATAGTGTTCGACTTTGAATAATAACATCAAAGCTGCTACCTTGTCATTGTTGTTGGGCTCGGGTCTCATGATGATTGATTCGATCTATACCAGATTGGACAATTGTGATTTGATTTTCAGAGTGATTTGAAATTGCATACTGTGAGTCACTTTACTATGGAGTATTACCAATAGCCAGGTGATTGCAATGGAGCACTTTCTGTTCCAGTTCTTCACAGCCGCAGATTATGGTGAGAACGTTTCATTAACTGAAATAATGGATTTACGCGTTTGTATCACTTCAAAAGCGGATTAAATCTTTGACACTTGTATATTACTTCATTTCATAGGTGAGGTTATTAAATAGCGTTATTTTATAGATTTCTATTCAACTACATTTTCCTTATACAGCCCGTATTGCCTAACGTTTTTCATTGTGCTTAGTTTACTACTTTGTTTGTTGTCAGTAGTAATATTTTCTCCATTTAATGTTTTTCTCATACACAAGTATTTGTTGATGAAACTTGTCGAATCGAAGCTGTCGTATCAAAGCTACGTGGAAGGTTGGCTACTTTCGATGTTAACGCCTACGCTTGTGAAAGGAATGCGGTAAATAGTAGCAGTAAAATTCTTTATACTTCACCTGTTAAATAAAGAAAAGCCATTCAGTGAAGAAAACTTTCTTTTCAATAAATCATTTTCAAAAGCTATACAATCGTAATCATGGTTACAGAAAAATATATCTACCTCAATAGTTAGTGGGTCAATATAAAGTCATTGAAGGCGGTCAATAAAGTTACAGTGCGATAATATCTGTAAGATCAATTCAAGGTCATCAAAAATTGCTTGTAGGATTACAATAAATAAACAAACAGTAAACAAAGAAATGAATAAACTACCTTAGGGAGATTATAATCAAGGTGAAGTAAGAGATTGCATGTACCTCTTTTGAACGCGAAGATCAGGCTTGAACCAGGTTGGATCGTCAACGAGCTATGCTGGTGGAACGCTTGTTCCCTCGAGGTCCTACCATACCAGAAAGGTCTGTTGGGTAGTGGTTAGACGAAAAGCAGTTACCGTCATAGTGTAAATTGCTATACTATGATGGGGGTCTGAGGGCGAAGTCGTACTGCTGCTAGCTGGATGGGGTGTGACAGCAGTAAGGTGTTTCCCTTGGATGACCAGCAGTGCCAAGCTGATGCTGCCTTCTCAGTGGAAGGGGGGGTTAGAAAAGGTCGGCCCCAAAAATAACACACTCCACCACGCCCCACGGTCTGCCGGGCCGGCGGTGTTGGTTCACTTGTCGTTTCCTTTCGACTATCCGGCCCCAAAAATACAAAAATTCAAAATAATCATACTCAAAAGGCTGGGTGTGACAGGCCTCAAGCAGATGTCCGATGGGCTCTGCGGTCACACAAATCTCTTTCAGGTACCTTAAGAAGAAATAGCCTTCCACGGTGTGGGCAGCCGGGAAGTGTCAACCGCCCTCACAACTCTGTCAGCACCCAAGTTTCTTCTGACTGCTATCCTCCTCCTCCATCATTACCTTCTAATCTTCCTTCACGTCTCTTAATTAATGATGCTGCATCATCTTCAATTTCTCCTACCTCTGCAGCCTTCGACAACGATCTGAGTCCACAGAACAGTGTCCCTGGTCTCCTTAAACCACGCTCCAAATTACATATTGGAGCCTTCAATGTCCGCACCCTCCGTCAAATTGGCCAACAGGCTTCGTTGGCAAAGACTCTAGCAACTCGGGCATGGATGTGTGCTGTGTTTGTGAGACACGCATACAGGACCCAAGTGTGGTTATTCACCTGACCTCTCCTGACCAATCTGGTGAATCTGCAAAATTCACCCTTCGAGTTTCTGGAGATTCGATAGCTAGCTCTCGTGGTCTTGCAGGTGTAGGTATAGCATTAAGCACCAGGGCAGAAAACTCACTACTAGACTGGATCCCAGTTGATAGTCGCCTCTGCGCTATGAGGCTGAACGGCACAGTGAGAACTAAAAGGAATAGTGAGACTCGCCGTTGTCTCTTTGTAATCTCTGCTTACGCACCCACTGACTGTAGTTCGGATGAAGTGAAGGACGAGTTCTACCATAAACTGTCTAACCTCCTCTCGAAAGCCAAACGTTCGGACGTAGTGGTTGTTGCAGGTGACCTCAACGCACAGGTGGGTAGACTGAGTGAGGCAGAAAGGCACTTAGGTGGCACTTTCGGAATCCCAGCTGAACGTACAGATAACGGTGATCGCCTATTACAACTATGCTCAGATAACCGCCTATTTTTAGCCAGCACAAATTTCAGACATAAAGAAAGGCACTGTCTGACCTGGCGTCCACCGAGCTCGACTCAGCGATGGACACAGATAGACCACATTGCTATTAGTCATCGCTGGAGAGGATCGGTGGAAGACTGCCGCTCCTTCTGGAGTACGTGTTTGGACAGCGATCATGCGTTGGTCCGAGCACGTATATGCCTGCGTCTCAATGGACGTAGAAAAAATTTGGCAACAAAACCACTACGAGTTCTGCTGGACAACGAAAACACCAAAGCCGTGTTCAGTGAGAAGTTGGCTAGGCAGTTATCGGAACAAAAGACTGTCACTCATCCAGAAGAAGCTTGGTGCCATCTTCAGTCTACTGTAAAAGCAGCACTGGAGACTGTAGCCGACTCCAAGATAATGGCTAAAAAGAGCCAGTGGATATCAGCAGCTTCTTCCAAACTAATGGATGCACGTGAATGCATCCCTGCAGGCTCTGAGTACAATGAAGAGCGAGCGCAACTTAAAAATAAACTGACGAAAAGTCTGCGCAACGATCGTGAACAGTGGTGGGCAGCAAAGGCTAAAGAGATGGAAAAGGCAGCGGCGATCGGTAACAGTAGACAGTTATTTAGACTTATTAAGGAGACTGGGGGGAAATGGTCAACAACAGTTAGTGAGGTTATAGCGGAGAAGGACGGATCGGCGATTCACTCGCAGGGAAGGCGACTGGGACGATGGGCAGAACACTTTGAGGAACAGTTTAACTGGCCTCCAGCCACCATTGCGCTGCCCGCTATCCAGTCGGACCCTGAATGGGACATAGAGACAGGTCCCCCAACACTAGAAGAAGTTGAGAAAGCGGTAGGTAGCCTGAAACGGGGAAGGGCAGCAGGACCAGACGGACTACCTGCTGAGGTATACAAGAATGGTGGTAGAGTTCTCTTAGTCAGGCTAACGGAAGTGTTAGCCAGTATATGGGAATCAAATACGATCCCCTCCGACTGGTCTAAGTCACTGATCATCCCAGTCTTCAAGAAAGGCGAGAAGTCCTCTTGTGATAACCACAGAGGAATCAGCCTGACAAACATAGTGTCTAAGATCCTAAGTTCTATAATTCTCCGACGCCTGAGTGGAGCTCGGGAACAGCAAGCCCGAGAAAACCAGGCAGGCTTTAGACCTGGCCGTGGATGTATCGACCAAATATTCACACTGCGCCAGGTCCTGGAACATAGGCATGCTTACAGACGCCCGACAATAGCTGTATTTCTCGACCTGAAGGCGGCATTTGACTCCGTTGATCGAGAAGTCTTATGGCAGTGTCTGTCACTGAAAGGCGTGCCTAGTAAGTACATCACCTTATTGAAAGCTCTCTACTCGAACACTTGTGGGCATGTTAGAGCCTATGGTGAGTTGTCCAGGGAGCTATACTCATCAAGTGGTGTCCGTCAAGGATGCCCACTATCCCCATTCTTATTTAATTTTATCATAGATATTCTTATGGAGGTTTCCCTCTCGTCACCTAATTACAAAGACGTTGACCGGACACAGGTGAATTTTCCTTAGATCTAGAATATGCAGATGACATAGTCCTGTTAGGTGAAGACGCTGACAAGATGCAGAGTCTTCTGAACACTTTGAGTGGGAATTTGAGAATGTTTGGGATGCGATTTTCACCACCCAAATGCAAATTTTTGCTCCAGGACTGGTCTTCAGCGGTACCGCGGTTAACAATAGAGAGTGAAGTGGTTGAGTGTGTTGACCACTTCACTTACCTGGGAAGTAGGATCAACTCCGGTGGGTTAGTTGCCGATGAGATTTCTGCACGGATACAAAAGGCTCGATTGGCTTTTGCCAATTTGCGCCACCTATGGCGCCGCCGTGATATTCGTTTGTCTATTAAGGGTCGCGTGTACTGCACAGCAGTCCGCTCTGTTCTACTGTATGGCTGTGAAACATGGCCATTGAAAGTGGAAGACATGAGAAGGTTACAGGTATTTGACCACCGTTGCCTTCGTAGTATAGGACGTATTCCGTGGTGTCACCATGTGAGTAATGCAGAAGTTAGGTGTAGAGTTTTAGGGAGAAGAGGTAAGTCAGTCGACGAGGTTGTGAACCTTCATCGACTGAGATGGTTGGGACACGTACTACGTATGCCTAGTCACCGATTGCCTCGTCACACAATGTTGGCTGAGGTGGGTTCAGGCTGGAAAAAGGCCCGAGGTGGCCAGACTAAAACATGGCACCAATGTATGAAGTCTCTGACTGTTGGTTTAAGCCATGTAGGACGATGCAGACTAGGTGGTTGGGGTCCACGGGACAAGAGGAACCAGTGGTTGGAGACCCTAGGTGATATGGCTCAGAACCGAAGTCAGTGGCGCAGATGTATACACACATTATCCTCATCTTAACAACGCTATACCGAATCTCACTATTTTGTCACTCCTCTTTCCTTTCTTCTCATACTTTATATTTCTTTTGACTGCATTCACTTATCTTCATCCTTCACCTCACTACCTTTTTACTTGATGTGCTGATATGAGGTGTGGCAACTCGGACCGTTACGCAGTAATGCCTGGTCCTATGTTGATAATGATGATGATGATGAGGTTGGATCGTCAAAGCTTCTGCTATGTTGAGGTCATGGTGGTTGTTAAAAAGGCCACATCAAACTTCTGTCCAAACACATCTCCGAACACTGTCATGTATGGCTGTCTAAAGAAAGTTGTAAAGCCTATCAAGAGGTCTATCTTTGAGCATTTGGTTAACTCTGTTCACTTCTCTGTGCGAGAATCTTCTTTCAAAGTCATTTATGAAGTAAAACCAAACATTTCTAAGGGAGTGATTATCTGCCATGTCAGTAAAGCAAAAGCTTTGGCAATCCCGCAGTTCAGGCCTGCTCTTTGTGTACAAAAGAGATACCTGCAGTCTCTTATTGTACCGTAGTTATAATCTCTCTAAGGTAGTTTATTCATTTCTTTGTTTACTGTTTGTTTATTTATTGTAATCCTACAAGCAATTTTGATGACCTTGAATTGATCTTACAGATATTATCGCACTGTAACTTTATTGACCGCCTTCAATGACTTTATATTGACCCACTAACTATTGAGGTAGATATATTTTTCTGTAACCATGATTACGATTGTATAGCTTTTGAAAATGATTTATTGAAAAGAAAGTTTTCTTCATTGAATTGGCTTCTGTTTACGTTTCCTGATAAATTCATATCCTATCTTCGAAATGTTGTATACTTTTCTGGTTTCTCTCCATCATTTTACGTGTAAATGTATTTAGAACTTGAACTGTTTCTACAAACACTCACTACAACAGTTCACAGTCGAAGATTTCGCCGAAAATGTCTCGGGGAATATTATGCTAAATTATTATCACCGCATAACCATTGATTGTAAGCAACAAATTGTGTGCTAAACTAAATATTAAAGTTTCAACAATAATGAATTTTATATTCTACTCCCATATGTTTATTGTTATGGAAAGTCCATGATATAAGAAAAATAATTTTGAAGATACACTAATTTGAAGGGGGAAGATATCTTGGAATTACTAATTTCTAATAACTATTCAAGGGAGGATATTGATGAGCAATAAAAACAATCAGTGAACTTGGAAAATAATAATTATTTTTGTCATAGTTCTTGATCTAAGCATAGATGGAACCCATTTGTCTGAGTTTACTGGGTCAACTGAGAAATAATTTACGCTGTTTACTCATTTCGCTAGTCATTTGTCTTGCGGTGAAAACGTCAGTTTATTCAAATAAATGACAAATTAGCATGTAAGGGACACGAGCTTCAGTCATTCAATGATAATTATAGTTATACTTCAATATTTTTGTACCAACAGATGGCTTTTGATCAGGAGAAATAATACGAACTGTTTGAGTATTTCTGTATGTTTGGAGAAAGTCACCTGTAGTTTAACATCGGTCTAGTCATCAACTGACGTATTCAGTTACTTCACCGACTGTTTATAGTTTAAAAGGTGTTTAATAGTGTTGTGAACATTATGTTGGATAGCTATGACCGTTAAAACAATCTCTACATTCAGGGGCTGCTTATTAGACTCTTATAGTGAGGCATATTTAATTTAAAATTCAATAATCATTTGTGCATTTGAAGTTCACCTTTAAAATACTGCTGATTGTTTACTTTCGCTGCATGTTTTCCTGCTTTGTAGATGGTTCTAGCTGGTCATTTCGATGTGTTCCTGACACGTGAACAGCTGTCTATGAAACCTCCAGTTAATCGAGAAATTGTGTGCAGTTCAAAATGACTTGGTGTTAAATTGAATATACTCTTGTGGACATTTGCATTGTATATAAATACATATGTATATGTAGATAGGAATCGAAGTGTTTTCGTCTCATGTTAATCAAATCGCAATCAAATGGGGGTGGAGGAAGTGATTCATTGACTGATTATTGGTTTAAGATCGTTATTCTAAATTCCACTATTGTTTACATTTTTGTTTGGTCACCAATCGTCACTTTCACTCATCGAAACCAAGATGAAAATGGTTGAATCAACAACCTGTCTAGGAAGTTACAATTTTCGTCTATTTCTTGTCAATTCCCATTCACTGACATTGAAAAAATCCGTCATTTAGTGGTAACTGGTGTTGTATTCTGAATTTCCTCTACTAATGGTGATAAATTGATGAAACTATTCAACGTGAAAACTAAATTAATCTTTATCACAGTACATAGTTTCAATATTGATGTGTTCTGGGTTAAACGTTAGAATTCTAAAGCACAGGTTTTTGAAAATTTTCATTACAAATTTTCAAAAGTATTTTTATTTGCACCTATGAACTGGCCTGATCTTTTACTGGATAGTTTTGACTGTTATATACTGAAATTCAAGTGGTGGAGCAAGTTCTTCAGTGACTGATAATGGAAATAGTAAACCTAGTGTTATTAATTGATGTGGTTATTTTGGATAATAGAAATGTTTAACGGTTTTTCATTGCATACTGTTGTTGTTCCTTGGAAAGTGTTAGTGGTTTGTGTATCGGCTTTTAAGTACTTTCAGTATGCTGGCATACAGCTGAGAAAGCGTTCGGTCCATACAATAGTGAATCACTTTTCACGTTAGGTTTTGCTTAGTCGCATATAATCTATGATTACATTGTCAATCTGGTATGTTTGTTGGTTAGTTCCTTAAAGTCTTAAATGTTTTTTGTTGAGATGCTGATTTATCAACCTTAGTAGTGGTAATTTTAGTCTACCACTGATGAGTTCATGAACGATGAAGCGTTCAGATTCATTGAAATTCTGTTTTGTAAGTGTTAGGTTAATTGAGAAGTTTATTATTATTTGAAGAGTTCATAAATATGTGTAATCGTTACCATTTCAATTCAATATGCAATTTGCAGTAGATTGACTAGATTCAAATAACTTTTGATGATGGATTGATATCAGCGAATACACTACTGAAAACCAGGCTAACCGTTGAGTCCTAATTTTTGACTTTTCAGTAATTTGCACTCATTATCCTGCCAGATAGTGATATCACGATCGTCATTTTTCACAATGAGGACTTTGATCTTCATTCACTAGGCTTTGTTGAAATATTAATTTAGAATCTGATGCATAAGTGCATCGGTTTCAGTTGTCAGGTATGACAACAGCATGCAAAGAAAATTGGGTAAAAAAAAGATATTAACATTGATAAAAGTGGATGAGAGTTGAAAGAATAAAAAACCTAAACGTCAGTGGAATGTTCAGATTTTGAAAATTATGAAGATTTGTAAACATTCGCACTATTGTGACCGGTTTTCAGCCAAATCACCGTCAGTTTCCAGCGATTGATTCCTATCGTCTCAATGAGGTCAAATAAATAACTACACATTTCGTTGGCATGGATTGTCAGTTATGTTCGTATGATAAAGAAACGAAGAATCTATTAGAGGATTAGTTTTGGTGCCGATAATTGAAGGTAGATGGCGAGATAAAGATAATGTAGATAGGGAAGCGGTTGACTACTTTCTGTAAGCTGCTAGGACGGTGCGAACAGTTTATACTTTGACCTGCCTAGCCCATGGAAGTATTTTACGCAAGGTACCTGAAGAAAATGGATTAGTAACTGGTACGTGACTGCGGAGCCCTAGATATATCTGCTTAAGATCGATTTCACATAGATTCTTTGAGAATTGGATTGATATTTCAATGTGCAAACCCAGCATAAAAATCACAAACTGCTGCTACAGAAGTATCTTAGGGTCGAGGAGATTATTGTGTTTTTGAGCAAAATGCTCTAACCTATCCTTGTGATTTGGAAGGCAACATCAGAGTGGGTTACCGGTATTTGAAAGAAAACACCTCCTTGTAGTCATAACACTTCGAAACAGCACTACAACCCTTACCATAGTGTAAACTGTTTGCACTATGACGATAGTGGCTTCCAGTCTTACTGTTACCCAAAAGACAGATGATTTTATTTCAGTAGATCGGTTATTATTTGATTGCTTGATTTTTGTTTCTAACTAGTGAGTCAGAAGACCACTGATGAATCGAACTCATATCTAGAAATCGTGGGCAATATTTGTAGCTCAGGTGGATAGTCTTGGTTTCATTGTGTTCTCTGAGCTAAGTTGTTTACTTGTGGAGCTTTCATCGTCTTTCTAGACGACATCAGCACTAACTTTAGTGTGAAGTTCATAATGGAGTTAGTGCTGATGATGTCGTCTAGAAAGACGATGAAAGCTCCACTAGTAAACTACTTAGCTCAGAAAACACAATACGACCAAGAACACACCTATTTTATGTTCCCATTACCTTGCACTTATCAATCGTGTTTGTTAGTCTCCTCATTTTACTAAATGTGTGAGTGTGACTGAAGTGATGCGTTCGAGGTTATACGTCGAATAAAACTTAAACTAATGTCAGTGTGAGCTATAAATGAGCTTCAAATCTAAACTGTCAGCATGAGGGTTAACATACCTATGGGCTAAGGCGGGATTTTACGGTATTTATCAGTTGGCTTATCATAATTACTGTAATAATTGAATATTTAAATAAGTGCTCGTAACACTTAGAAATAAAGAGTTATCAATTAAATATCACTGGTTTCAATTGTCCTAGCAGTTAACGGGGATAAATTCTGTTGTTGTCCCTGGTTACAAAGAGTTAGTTAAAACATGAGTTCACAGTTTCCAAACGGCTCTACTCTAGAGAAAGTTCTGCTAAGGAGTATGATTTAAAAGCTGTTCAGTTACTTACGATTCTCAATGGACAGCAAAAACAAAACGATTCTGGACAAACTGTAAGAACTTTTACTGTTTGAATTTTGAATCTAAGTCTTTGTCTTCATGAAGAAGTGATAGTCCAGCAGGATATACTGCAACGGCATAACCAATGAGATGTTACTAATTTCAAAAAAATTCCAGTGTGTTTCTAAGTTCCTTCCTATTCTTGCTTCTTTCGATGAATAACTTTATCATTACTCTTACTTGTTTTATTCTTCTTGCTCTTCTTTCCTACTTATGATATTATGATGTTACCCAGACATTCTTTATTCAATGTTTGTTTAATTCATAGTCACGGAATCCAGCCATAAACTATCAAATTTTCAATGGAAACTTAAACTGCTCGTCAGCTATTGACAAGAGCATGTGATCAGTTACATATATATGTATTGTATCACCATGGCTAGTTCGATGTGTTATTCTCATATTATGTTTCTAAGTATCTCCAACTCACAGTGTGGTATTTCAGTATTTGGCTGAAAAACTGCTACCGAAACTCACGAAATATTCGTCGAATTCTGTTTTCTTCTCATTACATGTGTTTTGCATGCAGGATTGTTGACCTTCACATTGTTAACTGGTTATAAAAATTCTAGAATCTACTCACTTTATCATTCCTGTGAAAACATTTAATCAGCTGGTGGCAATCAGATCTTCATGTCACATCATTACTTTCCATTCTGTTTAGTCTAATGTCTGATAGAATATAAGTTTGTTTCCAAAGACATTGACGAAATGATTGAATTCTCTTCTTCAACAGATATTTCATTAGTATTATATAATACGACCCAAGGAACCTAAATTGTAGACAGTAGGAGAAGTTGATAAACATTATTCATCGGGTGGTAATACAAATGTTAGCGAGGTTAGTCAATGAAGATATCTTCAGCATTTTTCATGTCCATAATTTACACGTCATCACATATCTCTTTCGAAATATTTGTTTGCATTCCGTGCCTTATCAATTTGGTCTTGTACCTTAACACTCACCTCAAACGATGTCCAAATATTCATGAATTCTAAGGTGTTTTATAGCTTATCCTTGTCTACAGCTGATTAAAAGTGAAGTTATTTTATTTGACACAGCTAGTTGTTTTCGTCTTGTTCACATTTCAGGTTAATTGGAATAGACTGAGTGAGACTACGAGGGATTCTGACCATTGCACTAGATAGCCCGTCCAAGTGATTCAACAAGTAGAAATTTACGCATTGCAATTAAATCTTTTCTTTATTCAACCTTCGAAATTGCAGCTTACAGTCAAGCCTCACTGTTTGGCATGCTATTTGGTGATTAGTTGTGCCAAGTGAATTACATTTCTACACCTCAAATTACAGACAGACATGCTGTCGCTTGCGATACACTTCTAGTTAGCCTGTCTACAGTTATCGTTTTCTCCTCGGTCAGTAGTTTTTAGTACTGTGCATCTATTATTCATCCTAATTATCATGATAAATTATGCAGCAACAGTTTGTTTTTCATAATACTAACAGTATAAATAGCAACTGAAAAGGTGAGTAGGTACTCATGATCATCTTGTCACAAGATCTGCTTTGTGCTGTTTATTTTGCCTTAGTTGATGCATCTGATTAAACTGTTAGTTATTTCCTCTTAAATAGTTGAGGTTATGAAGCAATAACCGGTCGGAAAACACATTTTTGTGAAGATGAAGTTGTAAACCTGTTTCAATTGAAAATAACCATTGCATAAATGGACACTTGTGATAGACTAAGACACCTGAACGATTTGTGGCATCTGCTTCCTCAGTCGTGGTCTGGAGAAAACGAAGGTGAACTGGGAAATCAATATTATTTCATATTGCTAGATGAATATATGATGGAAGAAGGCGATGAAACAGAATATTAAAATAAGGCTAGGTAAGTAATCTATACAAAGAGGATGAGTTAGTCAATAATTTATCATTCATATAATCACAAAATGGGGAATTCGAAGGTGGACCACAGTTATTAGCTACGAACTGGCTAAACTCTTGTCTTCTGACTGAAACGGTAATGTGACATATGAGACA